AGCCCTACCCTGTCTCTGCTGTGATACATGTTGGGATTACTGGTGCATGAAGAAAAGGCCTTGCCCTGGGAAAATGCATTTTTGTCGTCAGGAAGACAAGCAGTGATATTAAAAAAAAAAAAAAAAAAAAAAAACAGAAAAACATATTACTCAAGCTGGCTCTCTTCCTGTCTGGCTCTGCAACATGCCTCATGGGATGCCTCAAGCCAACAGACAGGCCCAGGGCTTGCACCAGCTGTCTGTCCCCTCCCTGACCACAGCTCTCTGTGACAGGTTGCTTCTTCATTCAAATCAGGATGGGGGGTGGGTGGAGCAAATGACAACTCCTTGGACAAACAGCAAACGGTTCCCACCACCTCCACACCCTCATGTTCTAGATTAGTGATTAGCGAACATCATGAGTTGTTGTGCAAAACTGAAAGGGTGAGCCTGAAGCTAAGCCTCCCCCACTTCCTCCTCTCTGCACCCCTCCCCCACCTGCCTCTGCCCCAGCTCTGACTTTCATTATTCCCACTGTGCTCCTAGAAGAGAGACCAGGAATGACTTTAGCATTGAACAGCAGGGACCATTTGCATTTTACAAATGAGGAAACTGAGTGATTTTTAATGTATCACTCGGTTAATAATACACCTAGTGATTTTTAATTACTCGGTCTCCACCTATTAACTGTTTTTTGTTTGTTTGTTTGTTTGTTTGTTTTTCCAGTCCACCTAGTAATTCTCTTTTTCCAATGCTGCCATGGGTGGGAGACTTCCTTCCCATCTCTTGTGTTCTCAGGGGTCATGCTGACACTCCTACAAGGCCAGGCTAGAGGGCTCTGGATCTCCCTGTTATAAAATGGTGGCACTCGACACTTGATATTTCTGTCTCAGACAGCAACCCACTGCATGTGTAGTCCCTGGTTCAGGCCTTTACTCTCAGAACTTGGGGAAGAAAGATCAGAAACTTGTGGCCCCTGAAGCCTCCAGGAAGCAGGGATCCAGCAGGACATTTACTCACAAATAAGATAAATTCAAGTCCTAGATGATGCACCACCACTGTTCTCTACCCTGCAGGGTGTCAAAGCAGAGGCTGAGACACATTACCAAACTTTGGGCAGAGTGCAGGGAATCTTATGAAAGAAGGGTGAGATAGAAAGATCTGGAGGGGACAGGAGTTCCACAAGGAGAGGAAAAAATTCTGGGCACAGGGGTCTTTCCAGAGACTCATACTCCAACCAAGGACCATGCATGGATATAACCTAGAACCCCTGCACACATGTAGCCCATGGCAGCTCATTCTCCAAATAGGTTTACTAATAGTGGGAACAGGGACTGTCTCTGACATGAACTCAGTGGCTGGCTCTTTGATCATCTCGCCCTGATGGGGGAGCAGCTTTACCAGGCCACAGAGAAAGACAATGCAGCCAGTCCTTGATGAGATTTGATAGGCTATATTGAGAGGGAAGGGGAGGAGGACCTCCCCTATCAGCGTACTTGTGGAGGGGCATGAGAGGAGATGAGGAAGGGAGGGTGGGATTGGGAGGGGTGTAGGGAGGGGCTTACAGCTGGGAATCAAAGTTAATAAACTGTAATTAATAAAACAATAAATAAATTTTAAAAAAGAATGAATTAGCCAAGAACTCTCTGTAGTTTGGCCAATGGGGAAAGGCTGTTAAGATGAAGGGGCCCCACAAAGAACTCCTATTAGGGACACATTTGTCCTGTCCCCATTCAACTGACACATTTTTCTTGTTCCCTGACACAGACCAATAGAACAGGTACTTGGAGATGACAGACAGAGGAAGAGAGAGAGGAGTGGTGGCTGTGATGGTGGGAGTGGGAGAAGAGAACACACAGATAGTCAAGCTGGACGAGGGCAATTGGTACCAAATATATTCCTTGCCTTAGGGTCTTTGCACCTACTGTTGTCTACACAGCAGTCCTCTTACCCCAGGGTCTGTAAGAAGGGCACACACAATGTCTGAGTATGTGCTGGAGACTGAATCCTTGACCTTCATGAGGATCTGTTTCCTATCAGGCCTGTGGGATCAGGATAATCCGATGATGCTCAGTGAAGCAGGCTTGCTGGCAGAGCCACAGCCTGCCCTTGGGGGAGGGTGCAGTAAGGCTGGGTTGCATCTCACCAGGCTAGAGTTCTGGAGTTCTGGCCTGTTCTTTATGAGATTCCTACAGGTGATCGCAGCTTCTACCCAGGCAGAATAGCTTTCTCATAGTTCTTTTTTCCAGCTGAATGAAATTCAGTTCGTGGATGGTTTAATAAGTCCTGGGTCCCCAGGAAAGAAGTGCTCAACCGTTCCCAATAATGAGTTTCAGCCTGTGCATCCCCAGGCCATGGAGGGTCTGGAGATACAACGCTGCCCAGCCTAGAAGCCCTGGGCAGGAGTGCCAAGGTTTGTGATTCTCAGGATATTTCTTTGCTAAGAGCCAAAGGCCTGGAAACAAAAGGGGATCACTGCCAGGAGACCTGCTCCCCTGCTCACTGCTGCTCACCTCAGAGACAAGATTTGTCACACTTCAGAATCAGAGGGACACTCTTGTGCCACCACCTTCCTGCAAAGTCTGAGGTTCACAGGGTTCACTGAGAGGATGATATAATTTGCTTCCATTTTAGGACCAGGCCTGACTTGAAAAGAAAAGTCATCAGTCCCAGGCATTAGGCCATAGGTCACCAATTCCAGGAACAAGACTATAAAATCCCCTACCCAAGGAACAGCCTGGAGATAACCACAAGAATAGGAAAATATCTTATTCCAGGATGGGTCATCTATGCTGGGCAGCCTTACCTCATCCTGAAGTTAAACACAGGAATGCAGCCGACTACTTGGACGAAAGCCAATGAGGAATTGACCCTTGTAACTTCCCCAGAACCCATCAATGTTAGGTTTTTAGATCACCTAACCCTTGCTAGAATCCCCTAGTTTCCTATAAAAAGGCCTTCAAGCCTTTTTCTAGGGTCGCCATTTTGTAATATGGTTTGACCCCTGCATGCAGGTTTTCATGAAATAAAACACTCCTGCCAAATGCATATGTCAGTGGTAGTCTCCATGCAGTGATTTTGGACTGAACCAGTCTGTGGTGACATTGAGGACCTGGGGTCCTCGATTGTTTGAGTACATTCCTTGTAGGAACTGGAGGGTGGGTGTTTGGCAGGTGCCAACACCACCACATGTAGAAGTAGCCTTGGATAGAAGCCATGCCTGCCAGCTGCTTCTCTACCCCTCTAGCTCCAGTCTCTGCCTGCTAGGCATCCCTCCCTGAGGCCAGCACCACACAGCAGCTCAGCCGTGCTTTCCAAATGGAGCCTTTGGCTCCACCTGGAATCATGAGGCCTGCCATAGTGATATGCAGAGGGCAGGGATATGCAGAGGGCTCACAGTCCTATCTCTGGAACACATTTTGAGAACAAATGCAAAGCAACAAAATGAAACAGTTTCAAATTGCGCTGAGTGCGGTGGAGTAACGATGAATAAACAGCTTCCAGTTAGAGATACCTTTGTCCTGCTCCCATTCAATTGTCTGATTTTTTTTTTCTTGTTCCCTCCCAATCCTAAAGGCACTTGGAGATGACAGCGGAAATAGAGAGAAGTGGTTACTGCGTTGTGGGAAGTGGGGGAGACTGAACACACAGAAAATCAAAGTGGAAGAAAGCTGTGGGTACCAAGTACATTCTCTACCTCAGGGCCTTTGCACACACTGCTCTTGTCATAGCAGTCTCCTTACCCCAGAGTCTTGTTCTTCACTGCATTTACTTTGTTATTTTGTGTCTGTGCAAGTACACATATATGTGCAGGTGCTTGAGTGTGTATACAGGTACATACAGGTGGAGGCCAGGGGTCGATGACATATGTCATTTTTGCCAGGAGCCATCTACCTTGTGTTTTGAGACAGGAACCTGGTTTACCAATTAGGCTATGCTGGCTGGCCAGCGAGAACCCCAGGGATTTGTCCCCTGTGCTGAGGTAGCAAGCATGTGTCACTCACTATTCCCAGCATTTGAAAATGCGAGTGTCGGAATCAGATTCAGGTTTCCATACCTTCGACTTTACCGACTGAGCTACCACCATAACCCCCACTGCATTTGTGACTTTGACCAATGGCTTTTCTGGACACTCGAAAGTCATCTTGCTCTCACACGCCACCCCCCAGCTCTGTAGCCTTTCCCCTCCTGCCTTAATCATGAGATAACACTGCAGCTCAAGTTACTTGTTTTTCTGTGTGTCCCCTGTTGACCTGTGGGATTGGAGCTCACCAGGCTGCCAGGGCCCCCGGTTGTGTACAAGTGACTTGAGATTCAGGAGAGCAGGCAAGTCTGGGAACCGGGTTCTTCCTGCCTAGGCCCCACAAGGGCTGGGAGATCTCAGTCTTCTCAGGTGCTGAGACTTCACAGGGACGAGGAGCTAGCTGGTCAGACAGCAGAATCACCTGGAGCAAGCAGCCTATGACCTTGAGACATTAAGTCTGGGTTTGGTCTTTTCTGGTTGACCCTGGCAGTTTCAGGGAGGGACTTCCTCTGGCTTTACCAAAAACCAAACAAGCGAAAACAACCACACAGTGTAACTGTCCAACCACCCAAGACTGTGTCACTGGAGGGTGAGAGGTATCTGTGGCCACCTCTGTGGCTGAGGCAGGATATGACACAGTCACGAGGAGGAGGCACCCGGCCCCTGTGTGGGCTGAGTGTTCTGCTTTCTAGAGGGCGGGGTCCTCAGAGGGCTCTTTTTGGGAGTTGGATACACTGACAGTTACCCAGGACTCATTCAAAACCAGGACACTGGAGCTCTGGAGTTTCCTAGCCACTACCAGCTCCCCTACCCCACACCTCCTGCCCCTATTCAGTTTAAGGCCCCAAAGCTCCTTCCTATAAGCCCACAGTTCTGCACGAGGTCACCAGATCACGAAAGCCACAGCCCAACCTTTGGCAGAGGACGTGATCAGTACAACACTGGCCCAGACAACTCAGAGCACAGACTCTAGAGTCAAGAAGAATGGATTGCTTACCTGCTGTGTCGCATCAGTGGAGTTCCTTAACCTCTCTGAGTCTCAGTTTTTTCATCTGAAAAACAGAAACAATGGTTCAACTTCACCAGCACGAGGATGGATGCCTGTAGGACCAAAGAGAGGGTCCCTGCAGTTTTCACAGCTCAGCCTTATACAGCAAACACGAACTCTGTAAAGTGGACTGACAGAGCTGTGAAACTGTGCAGTGCACTCGAAAACAAACACATAAGTACGTAAACAGCATTGGGCAGAGCTGAGAGAACTGTACGTTTCGACTTCCTGTCCCAAACTGAAACAGCACAGCTCCGGAGTCCAGGTTTCTAAGACCACTTTCAGTTAAAAAATGTTAAACATGGAACACCTGCCCCAGAGTCTGAACTACCTGGGAGTGCTGGCAGGTCCAGCTCCTTCCCACTCCTGGGGAATGAATATGGCTGCAAGTAGACAGGGCAGCAGGGAATAGCCCTTGCCTATGGGCCCACGGATACAGGCTGAGCCCAGCACATATCCCAACCTCAAGGAGGTAGCTGGTTCCCAGGGAGGGCATCGAGAAGAATGTGAGTTGACTTTAGGGACCATGAGGTCAGAGGCAGGGCTGGAGCTCAGGTCTCAGGTCAAAGGCCATGCATGACCTCTGATCACAGGCCCTGCTGCAAGACACTGTAAGGGTCTCAGAACTGGGGGTGAGAGACAGGTTGTCTTTTGGATAAGAGGTTTATTAGGTGGGTCTGAATACTACAGATACCCAGCATGAGAGTGGGGAGAGGCTCTTACAGTTTTCAGAGGTGGGGGAGGGATTCTCTGCCATGTAGTTGATGAGTAGCCCCACTGTGTTTGCCGGCATTCAGGTTGTCTCTGATTCCTCGGGAACAGAGGCAGGCAGAAGTTCTGCCCTTGACTTAACATGTGTCCACCATGAGGGAGATGTGACTTGTAGCCCCTTTGCTTAGGGTCTCAATAAACTTCCTTAAAGGAAGACAGAGTCAGACTCGCAGACTAGTGGACCATCCCAGTGCCTATTATTTTCCTACAGCAGTGGGAATCACAGAGACAGCTGAGCATGGAGGCCACTGCAGGTGAACATGGCTTGAAAGACCCTGGCCCAAACTTAACAGTCATAGGTCACACTGGGGCAGGAGGCAGAAGGAAGCTCTGACTCCGGACCATTGTTTTGAGGGCAGGAAACAGGCAGCTAGAAACCGTGTCCTCACTTTATACATCTGGTGCCTGAATGATAATGAGGACATACTTCTTCTAGGTGTGGTTGAGAAGGTTTTTATTGTAGATACGAGGGAGGCGGGCACAGTCGGAGGCATCTGGAAGAGTCCAGACTGAATTGCCAGCAGAATAGACCAGACCATGAGAGGAAAAAGAGAAAGGAAGAGTGAGAGAGGAAGAGAGGAGAGGGGACAAAAGACCAAGAGGGCAAAGACAGTGCATAGCCAAAATGGCCAGGAATTATGTAGGAAAGAGAAGCTAGGGAAGGGAGACAGAACTCAAAGGCTGGAGAGGTTTAGGGTAGGGCTTGGGGGTGAGAAGTGTTGCGGGGGCTCCATAACAGGTCCACTTTGATATGCTAATAGGCACCTCAGCCAGCCATTTGTCCCGGGTTTTTTTGAGACCTAACATCATAGAAACCCTTACTTTATACATCTGGTGCTAAAGGCCCCACAGGGTTATAGTCTTAATTAAGAGAGCTGCAGCAGGGTGTGGCCTGAATCTAGGAGAGGCAGAAGGAGAGAGGCAGTCTAGGGTCTGTGTTCTAATGGGAGGCGTACCTGTGTGTTCTAAGGCTGTTAGAAGAATTAGATGAGAGACACATGGAGTTCTCAGCATGGAGCCTGACAAAGGAGAGCTGGGGGCAGATAGATCACTATGAGTGCCTAATTATATGAGGCTTGGAAGACAGGCACAAGGGGCTGTATTGATGTTGCTTTCACACATGCTTACAGCAACTACCCTGGTAGTTCACATTGTACTTAGATGGTGCGAGGGCTGCTGGGAAGGTAAAGTTGTTACCTTTAGGCACACAGAGGGACAGAAGGGACAGTAGGGTGGGAAGGCCCGTGTGGGACACAAGTGCACCCCCACCCACACACATCACAAGATCTTTTTGGGGCTAGCCTAGGAATTTGGACTGGACCACTGGTTTCCTAGCATCTGTCAAGCATCACCCTGTGGCCTTTTGCTCACATGGGAGAGCAAGTGGCCCACCCCCATGCTGCCTTCAGACCAATGCCAAGTGTCACCACCCTTCAAGAGTGGGCTGCCAGAACTTTACACAGCACACCAGGTTCTGAGTCATTTCCAAACTCCTCCTTTGCCTGGGAAAAAAAGTGGTCATACTTGGCATCTCTAAAACAATCCACAGGACCCAAGGGACCTTGGATATCTGGATCCCAGCCAAAGAAATGCACACCTGAAACCTGCCTGCCCAGTGAAGTGACCCTTGGGGTCACTAGCTTCATTTGCAACCCAAGCCCAGCATGGCTTCTGATCAACAAGCCTAGTCTATTCCTACTTGCTGCTCAAATTTCCTCTCATATAGTAGTTACTTCACCTGAGAAACCTCCTATCCTTCTGACCACCACCCTAGGAAGCTGGCTCCCTTCCCCTAATGTTGGACCATCCCTGTGCTGCTGATCAGAGTGAGGACTAGCCCTAGCTGGGAACATAGCTGTTCTGCAGCTCCTTCTGCCTGGCTCTGCTCCCAGGGCACCTGGAAACACTTCCTAGTTATAACACATGCTCTGAAGCCCTGCCTCAAGCTCTGTTGGGAGGGAACCGAGACACAGTGTGAGGCTGCTCTGAGCTGTGAGCACTAGGAAAAAAGGCCTCAGAAGTGGTGTCCTTCCATGTTTAGAGAGCTTTGTCTAGAGCAAGATCCTCAGCAAAAACCTGGTCCAATCCTCTGGCTTCGTATCATGAGCCAGAAGCCAGCGGTCACTTGGCAAAGGATTACCAGGTCTCCAGTACATGCCAGGCCCCATTCTTGATCCTGGCAATGGTACTGTGAACAAAATGAATTCTCTTCTCTGGATGCTCATTGAGTCTAATCATACAAACCGGCAAACAATGAGCAGGTTTGTAGAAAAGCCTAGATTCTCTGAGGCAAGTAGAAGGATGGAAATGGGAAGCTTGGCCCCCTGCTGTGATGCATGGCATAAAATCCTTGTCTCTGGTCCAGATGCTAGGGTCTTTGCAGCATCTGCCAGCAGGCAGATCTGTCAGCTGGCATGCAGTGCTTCAATGCTACTGGCTCCATGCAGGCTAATTCTAATTAAAATTCAACCTTAGAATTAAAACATAGCTCCTTGGTTGCACTAATCAATGAACCAATTAGCACTACTAATTCAATAAAGTAATTTGATCAAAATTAAATATAAAAAGAGTCCCTTGGTGGCAGCAAATTTCGGGTGCTTATTAGCCTGGTGGCTGGTGACCACTGCCACAGCCCGTGCTGCTTGCTGTAGGGCTCACTAAAGCAATGAGTAAGACAATGAGTCCAGCTCCAGTAGAAAGCGCAGACCGGGAAGGTCCTAGTAGAGCTCAGGTGGAATGCCTTCGGTAAAATCCTTGTCCTACAGTTTCCTGGCTGTGTGGCCTTTCGTAGATGACCAATTCTCTCTGAGTTGTTTCTTCACTTTTAACCATTAAACAGGACTGATACCTTGAGCTCTGGGGAAGGAAGACCTTCTGAGTCAGTGTGGGGGTCTGAGGGAGAGGATGGGGCAGGGTACCCAGAAAAACATCCTGCTGAGCTCCAGAGTGAGACATTCAGGAAGCACAGGGAGCAGGGACCAGGAAGACAGAGACAGAGGAAGGGACAGGTGGAAGGGACCTGTGATACATGGTGAGGTTGGCAGCAAGCTGAGCAGAAGGAATCTTTCTGTAGGTCGGCAAAAGAAGGAGTCCCTTGCCACGTCTAGTCACGCATCAAATTACTTAAGAACAAAAGTCTCTTCACACCCCCATTTCACATGCCTTTTCTGGTTTCCTCTGTCCTTGGGAACCTGTGTACCCTGGAGTCTCCAGGCCATCTTTTATGCTAGCTGTTGCTATGCCAAAATAGATTAAGTCTCAGGAAGAAACTATCAGGGGTTTCCTGGAGACCAGCTCCACTCCCTAAGGCAACAGTTCTCAACCTGTAGGTTGCCGCCCCTTTGGGTTCATATGACCCTTTTACAGGCGTCACCTAAGATCATCAGAAAACAAGGATATTTGCATTATGACTCATAACTGTACATTACAATTATGAAGTAGTAAAGAAAACAATTTTATGGTTGAGGGTTCATGACAACAAGAACTGTATTAAAAGGTCACAGCATCAGGAAGGTTGAGAATCATTGCTCTCATGGCTTGACAATCCATGCTGTACCTGAGCCAGAAAGTAGCTCATCACTGCCTTAATCTCATATGAGCAAAAGATTGGCCACAGAGGTGCATGCACCTGTAGGATGCTGGGAGATGCAGTTGAGCCGTGAAGAGGCTCACTGCTCTCAGAAGACAAGCCTGTGAGAACTTGCTGAGTACAAGGCACAGATAAAGTGTTTAGAGCCTCAGTACTGGCCTCTTTTAACTTAGAGGCTGCTTTTGCTAAAATGTCCTGACTCTTCACTTGGGCCCGAATGCAGACACATCTGCCTGCATTCTGCAATGGCTTCTTTTTCTATGGGACACCCTATGACTCCTGACGCTCAGTATTTTAATTATTCAAGGAGTTTCCATCTAGTCTAACCTCCCTATCTCATTCTCCTTTAAGGACATAGATATTTGGGTCAGGACTTGTGGTGGTCTGAACGACGATGGCTACAGGGAGTGGCCTTACTGGAGTAGGTCTCGCTTTGTTAGAAGGAAATGCGTCAGGGTTTTGAGGTCACAGATGCTTTTTTTTTTTTTTTTTGAGACAGGTTTTCTCTGTGTAGCCTTGGCTGTCTAAGACTCAGTTTTGTAGACCAGGCTGGCCACAAACTCACAGAGATCCACCTGCCTCTACCTCCCCGAGTGCTGGGATTACAGGCTGGTGCCATCTCCCAGTGAAGTTACAGATGCTTA